CACGTAAAATACATGTAAAAGACTGATGTGCATGCATCTTAATCCACATTGGAAGTGCAGGAAATGAGAGCAGAATTAGTGTTGATTTTTTAAATGTTTGTATAAATTAGCCCAAACATTGGATAATTTGAGGGTAGGGGTTCGTGGCATGCCAATGTGGCCTCCTTATCAGAAATTTTAATTGAGTTAATACAACTGTTGTCGCGACATCCAATCAGTATATTTAGTATACCTAACAGTGTTTAAATATTTCCATCTGAAGTTAATTAATTTATTGTTTATTCTAATTTTTATTTGAACAATAATATCCCCCATCAGTATCATCAATCATCATTACCAACTATATACATAAAATATTTTATTTTAATATCTAACCAAACAGAATTTAGAATCTTGGCAAAAATACTGAATATCAACCTTTACATTTAATAAATTTTACTAAATTAATGAATACATATAACTATCCTAACCTGTTCAATGCATTACTTTCTACCTACAGGGTAGCACGGAAAATGTCATACCATTTCTTTTATTTATAACATATTCACTCTCAACAAGATTCATACAAAACTGGTATAAAATTAATCACCAAAGCCTAGGAATTTGTTTCTAGTGAATTACATGTTCAATATGACTGCTGTTTTTCTTCACAATCTCTTGGAGAACATGTTGTTATGTTGATGACTACTTTTCAACAAAAATCACAGTACAATTGCACAATCTGGGCTTTGAGTTGCAATATTTTTTCTGATTTCCTTTGATACATCCTCTCATTGAGATTGAGATGAAGTTGTGTAGTAATTTGTTGCTTTCTTTTTCTTTCCTTAAGCTAATGTCAGTAATAGGAGATTGCATCCAAAATGTCTCATCTTGCTTTTGCACTCCTTTCAAATTCTGGATCATTTGCTACAATTTGATCAACAATTTTGGTTATCGTTACCAAACTTTAACTAAGAAATCTGCAGAGAAATTCTTTGTTTTCAGAATCACTATTTTCCAGTTCTACATGAATTCCTTGTTCTGCCAGTTCTTGAAGGTTGTCATTGGCGAGGCTTTCACCAGAAACCTGAGGTAACTCCTCAATATTCTACTCGTCTACATATCTCCTAGTCCTACTGTATTGATTGGGTTGACCAAATTGTCAAAATAACAATACAGTGATAGGCTCTTCCGTTGAAAATTCTTGGATACCTCCAGCCATGTCTTCCACACACTGTGCATTTATCAATTAATTATTGCCAAGCAAAGTCAATATTGCCTGTGGCATCCATGACGTTATATTTTTTTCCAAAATTGCACCAAACAAACATAGATTTAAGGAAAGTACAGCATAAGTACTTTTTTCAGCACGCTTCCACTGCGCAACTCTGCTATGATGAATTGCCACCTTTTGCTGATTGGTTCGTGTTTGGGAATAATTGCATTATATACGAATTAATGAAATGCCACGATAATTTAAATTGGTGTAAATTTCAAGCTTTTTTTAGGCTTCTAGCAGACCGTGTTACATCAAATCAGCATTAAGCGGGGTTTTAATGTAATTATTTTCCCAGCTTGTTATGTATATATAACACAGGAAAGTATTAAAATCATGTCAAATTTGATGTTTTTGCAAAGCTTGATGTTTTTTGACTTTTTTGGGTTCAGAGGTCTCAAAACCAGAAAAAAAATTCTGTGCATTGGCATCTATATTGTTTAACATCTCAGGATGGAATAATGATTAAGAAAAAACATCTGGCATGATAGCTTGGAGTACTAAAGTTATTAAACTGATTAACATTAAAAAAGAAAAATTGTAAGTATCGTGATCCATTACATTGAGATGCAATATTTTTAAACTAACAAACATATTGATGAAATAAAATTTATTTAAAATAGTTATGCAAGCAAATTTACTTAATTAATATTACTAAAAAATTCAATTTAATTATTATATATTCTTACAGTTTATATTGGCATTGTCTGAAAAGTTTATGCCAGTTTTAAATTTGATGATATTCATATTTAATTAATTATATTAAATAATAATAGTATTTATCAGCATCTGTTTATATAAAGGGCATTGCATTATACAGTTGACAGTTGTGAAAGAGACGGCCTTACCAATACATATAGCCAGGGGAAGAAGGGGGGAAAGGAGGAGGAGGAGGAGAGGAATGGGGGAAGAGAAGGAAGAGGAAGAGGGATCACATGAGGATGGCTGGGAACCGAATAATAGAGGTAACAATCACAGTAGCTAGACTGACACAGCATTGCATTATACAGAATAAAGTATCAAATTATAAAAATCAAGTACAGTGATACCCCGAACTTACGCGATAGGTGGGACCGAGCGATAACCGCGTAAGTCGAATTCGCGTAAGTCGGGGTATAATTTCGCAATACATGTAAAATCCAAGTCGGATGTATGTAAGCTAATAAATGTTCTCGTTAATCTTATCTCGTCTTTTGATTCATTCACAGTTACAAGAAATCACCACATAGAGTCTCTCAAGGCTCCGTAGATATAACAAACACAGAAATAAATAACACAAAATAAATTGTAGCTGTGTGTTGATTCCGCGCGACACATCCGAACATGTAAGCCGAACAATAGTGTGGGGGGGGAGTGAGTAATCAAGAGTTGCATGGTGCTCAAACAAAAGATGAATCGACGAGATTTGAAAATCGTGTAACTCCAGGTTCACGTAAGTCGAGGTATTACTGTATTAAAATCATAATACATTTAGACATACAATGTTACATGATTTGAGAAAAAAAGAATGCAATCATTGCTACAGCAAAATAACATTTGTGAAGTTTAAGTTGGTCAACTGTGTCACAAAATCTGTCAAATAGTTTGCAAGGTTTCATCTGGATAATCAAAAATGTAAATGATGAATCAAGAGCAGAACACTCGATAAAAGTTGATGATGATCAAATCAAATCCAGGTTTTAAATGAAAAAAAACATTTAAGTTTGAGAAACTGAAACACTAAATGTACCAAAAACATAAGTAAAGACCATTTGAAAGCCATGGGATTTATAAACAAATACAATATACTGTATTTACTGTCCAACAATTATTGGTGTGATGATATATGCTTCAATGCTTGGATATATGAAAAATGGAAAGTTTTCAGAGTGCTCAGTAATAAAGAACAAAAAGTATAATGCAAAAAGATTTATGAATAGAGCCAAACAATCTGCTGAATTATTGTGCTATTTTCAGGCTAAGTCAATAGTTGTGCAACATCCCTTCTTTATGTAGACCAAGGTCCCTAATGGGAAGGATGCCACACAATTGTAAGTAGGGGTTGGTCAGTAATTTGCACCTGAACTGAATACGAGATGACTGTGATCATGTCAGGAATGTCAGGAAAACAGAAATAGAATCTGGTGTTGAAAGCTTCAAATTGACATGACAGGGCATCTAAACAAAAGCACAAGTTAGGTTTATTTAACTAAAAACCACTTAGAGTCAGTAAAACTAATACAAAAAAAAAAAAAAAACTTGTACACAAGTAGTCCTCAAGACACAGGTAGTGGAATATCAGCTATCTCCACAACAAACGAGTTGCTAGTTTCACAAACAAAACTTCTAGTACTGCTACTTTTGTTGCTTGTCACCACCAGTTGTAGCTTCACCTCCCTGATGCTAGATTTTACAGGGTTTATATTCCTTCTGGGAATGATGTCATTGCAGTCTCACACTTCTAGTTTATTTACCTTTTGCAGCATGTCTCATGTATATGTTTTGCTTGCATGGAGTCATAATGAGTGACAAACTTTAGATTCCTTACACCTAGGTATCAATTAATTTGACTAGAGATAGACTACAGTAATTATTAATGTAACCTGAAAATAGCTCAATAATTCTGCAGATCGTTTTGAGTTAATAACATGTAATTTATGGATAAAATGTAGAGATTTTAAGCCATATTGTAAACTTATATTATACCCCAAAAAATGTTTGATAGTATTGTAAACACTTTTTTGTTATGAACTGTTTGTTTAGGTATTATGCTCAATTATGTAATTTGCAATTGATGAACATTTAGCAGAAATGAATAGAAAAATTTTTTAAATCAAGATAACACACTTTCACATGTTGTAATGAAACGACAAGAAAAACTGTGCATGTTACTCAAAAAATTCTTAAATTTTCTAGATTTTGCCTACCGGTATTTTAAATCCTTCCTTCCTTAATCATCATAGTTTCCATCACCTACAAAACTTTTTAAATGAAAAAAATTAAATTATTTTAAAGATTTGCAAAACCATATAAAAGACAGTGCCCTGTGAGTTTTATTATAAAATATTTTTAGTTATATAACTAATGGACCAGTATTATAACACAACGAAGATAATATATTATTCATCAGTCCTTATTTTGTAATATACTTAAAGATGTTTTACTTAGCAGCTAAAAAACTGGCATAAATTCTTCAAACAAACCAATATTTAATATCTTAGAATAAAAGTTTCAAAATCATAATTTTTTAAATACATGCAAATAGAGTCCTTATGTCAACATAAATCCAAGATAAATACAATAATTTCAAATTAAACATGAAGTGAATGTAACTTATCAGATAAATGAAAAACTTACTCAACACTGAAAATTCTAAAGATTATTTATTTATAAGCATATTTTAGGTCATTGTAAATAACTGAGCAAATATTAATACTAGACAACTAATAAGTTATTTATCATCTGGAAATCAAATAATACTAAAAAGAGTTGAAGCATTCAAGACATCATCAAGATGCTATTAAAGTGAAATTACAATAATTTTATGATAATTAAATGAACTAATTTATGTTTAATTTAAAATGTTATACAACAGAAACAATTCTGATGCATAAGAGAAAAATACTTCTGTTGTATACTATTCATACTATAGATAACTATGATAAAATTGCATGCTATTCATGTTAAAAACAAACAAATATTACATTAAAGCATGTCATAAATCATGTCTAATTTCAAATTAATGTAAAAAAAAAAGGAAACTGACCTCAAAGTGTGCTCATCTTTTTGTGCATTCAAATTATTGGCAGTCATTTCTTTGGACGAGTTACTTCTATTTCTTCGACTGTTACTAGTCTGTTGATTAGTTAAATTATCTTTAACACTGTTAGTCTGTGAATGATGATCCCATTTATTACTTGATGAACCTCTAGCTGAAGGTGATGAACAAATAGCAATGTCATTCACTTTAAATGATGTTTTTTCCTGTTCACAACTTTCATCACTGTCCTCATATGTATTAACACTAGCTTGTTGTTTGATGAGATGATGTTCCATGTATTGATATTCATGTCTATCAATAATATGTGATGCATTATTATGTTTTCTAAAGTCTCTCATATCCACCTCAGAATAAGTGGAGTTTATTGTGGCACTAGATGTCACAGTAACTTGATTCTGATTAACCAGTTTTCCCCCTCCGGTATTAGGCAAACTTCCGCCAGATGTAGATTTCTTTGCATGGCTTTGGTTGGAATTGCAATGATTAATTCCATTTGAGATTACTTCCTCATTTGTCTTAGAACCTAAAATGAAATGAATTATTAAATATCAAAGAAAATAATATATAAAAAAATAAGCAAAAGTTTTTAATTAATAGAGATAAATTTTGATTCAGTACTTTAAAAAATAAAAATAGAAACTCTAAAATATTTAAACATTTTTACAAATTGAATTTTTGTTAAAAATTTCTTGCCTTTTTCTTTTTCAGAAGAATTAACCAATGTTATACTCGGAGACTCGGCTGGTAATGCCAACTGTAACAACTGTATATAAAATTCATTTTCTTTGGCCACTTCTTTTTGCTTTCTCTATTAAATATTTCAAAAAAAATATTAAACTTTACATATCAAAATCTTATTGATATATTTAATTATTATTTGTCTTTTAGAATTTTTTAAATAATTCTTACTTAAAAAAATTAAATCTAATGTAATTTCATTAGAAACAAATGACAAAACAAAAGCTTATAAAAAGAAACTATACTTCTGGAAATGTATTATTATTATACATTGGTTATATATGTTAATTTGAGAATTTTCTTGTTACATTATAAGTTCTTATTAATATAAAGGTTAGAAATTTTATATGTATTCACAGGTATACTTAATGTATTTATAATATTACATAGAAAAGGATCAAATGACAAAGAGTGCAACTGGAACTATCTGACATTTCATTCTTAATTTCAATATAAGTTTTTATAATGTTAGCATAATTCTTTTTATATCAGAAAGAATCATATCAAGAAACACATTATAGTGGACTTCCATGTAATACAATGAACACATATTATTTTCACATATTCTATTTTGCACCAATTATGACTTTCCTAGAATAAAAATAGGAGCTGACGCAATTAGTTCTTTGTTTTCTTATATATATATAAGAAAATTATAACATACTAGAATAAACAGAAAAATAAGCAATGCCACTTACTAAAAATAAATGAAAGTGAACGAGCTGTTTACTGGTGCTATCAGAACAAGATTTAATTACTGATAACAAAATACAAGTACTTTCAACAGTAAATAACCATCATCCTCAGGTACTGGCAGTTAGAACACAATAATTCAAAAAATTTGTTCTATCTTTTGATTGTAACTTTCAGTAGACAGGTTCAATCAATCTTTTTCTATATTTAAAAGATTCGATTAAAAAAAAATCTTAAAAGTGCACAAGACAGTTCAGATGCTGGCATTTGACACAAATTGAAAATTTTTTATCCAAGTTGACTTGCTATTTTTTAACACAGTCAACTTTTATTCTCAAAAAATTTTCAACGAAATTGATTTGTGTGTGTTTCTACTATCATTTCACTTTGTTTTGACAATTTTTTAACCAACATAACAGATACAGTAGAGCATCGATTATCCGAAACAATTCAGGACTGGGGTTGTTCGGATAATCGATTAGGTATGAAAAAATATATTAACCTATCCCATGTTGAAATCTGTTCAAATCCTGGTGCGTCCTTAAGTACACTCTCATGGTCATGCCAGTGCTGCCAGCTAAAATATGCACACCAACAAAAATAATGTTGGAGTAGCCCAAGACATAGCTAAATATTGCAGCACCACAGCACTAGCAGAAATTTAAATTTTCCGACTGGAATGCTTTCAGTTAACCAATGTTTCGGTTATTGATATTCGGATAATCGATGCTGTACTGTATTTTATTCAAATTTACTATTTTCAAGACATTGTAGTTCCAATTTTTCTTAAAGAGAATTTCAAAAGGCAAATTGGCATCACAAATGTTATGATAATGACAATTTCAAGAAATGTTTCACAAATGAAAATAAGTGTGACATTATAGTGTGTTTACATACTAGCAATTCACCATAACTAACTTATTATGATGTCAAAAAACAATAGAAGAGCCACACATTCTAAAAGAAATCTGTTAAAAATGAAACCAACGAATATAGAAACTGAGATAATGTAGAGTACATTACTCCTAAATAGTGTTTATTTCGGTCTTATAACTACAAAATATATTTTAATAAACAGACAACAGTTATTTCCTTTTACATAAAGGTTCAAACAAAAAACTTAGACTATTTTATAAATTGAACTTAAAAACAATTTAATAATGTCTATGGTTAACTTTAATTTTTAATAAAGTTATAGCTTTGTTTTTATTTAATCTACATTCAATCAACATATATGAAAACAAATGAGACAATAACAAAATCAAACAATTTAGCCATGTCTATGAATATGTAAACACATTCAACAATTTTCAGCCATTACAAGGTCTTTGGTAGAACTCATTTACAATTATGAGACTGCATTTTGGAATGTGTACAATCAATGACTGCTTTTATCATCTCATTTTTCATCATTCCATTCATAACAAACATAAATTGGCATTCTTATGATTCTTTTAATAACTCTATTTATTTGTCATAACTGGATGAAATGTAACTTAAGGTAATGCAACAACTACTTATTGCTTTACCTGAAGTTGTTATCAGTTGATTCTTGAACCAACCAAACTGTTTTTACAAAATAAAGCAGTATCAAACTCCCTTAAAAAATGATTATTTGATTATTTAGTTTGACTAGAGCATTATAAATATCATAAACACACAAAAATAATATTTACATTAAATTTATTTCATTCTGTATACATATGTAATATGCTCTATGAAATGTCATGTTAATGTATTTGTTACACTTTGTCAAGCACTAAAACTTCTAAAACAGATGCTCACTAGTGATCAAGTGGATAAAATCACAAAACACTAATATTTAAACCTTTGTGCCAGACTAACTGGCTGGCCATGTGGCACTTTCTAAGTTTCCTTTCCAGTGTTTAATACTTAAATATGAACCAGTTTTCTTTCTAAATTCCTCCTGGGAGGCAACTTTGCAAGACAATTCACAGAAATGTTGAATTTCAGTATACTATCAAACAAAACAGAATAAAAATCATCTAGGGATATATTTTTATAAAATTCAAACAAAAATACAATAAGGAAAAGAGTATGCTTTTTCACATTATATTAATTATATTTTCAAATATTGGGATGCTATTTTAAAATTGCAGACCTATAAATTCTCATTAATGTCCATCTGTCCTTTCTTAATCTCGAGAATAGCATTATACAGATGAAACTCAAGACCAGATATGGAAAGATTAGAAACCATATGCCCCAGATTAACTATATACAAACTTCCAGTTTGAACCAGAAGTCATGTTATTTCAAAAATTTTCATCATAACAGTTAGACAGATGACTGCTTGCTAACAGGAAAAATATGATGTATAAGAGCAAAACACTACTAAAATCAATAGCTTTGTGCATAGAGATCTAAAAAACTGCAGCCTGGTCCATTATTGTTCTGGTTCAAATACATAACTGTTCATTATTACTATAAATATTATAATTATTTTAATAAAACAAATCAATTTTACTGTTTTTAAGTCACTATAACTTTAATATTTTAATAATTAAGAAGGTTCTGGAAGAAAAAATTGGCCCAAAGCAGGACTTGAACCTGCAACTCTTGCATACCATGCAGGTGCATATCCAATTACGCTATCTTCATCCAATCCTCGCTTCCAGAATTTATTAATTTAGATATAACTATACTTGATTACTTATGGAGCCAGTGGGAGATGACTCAGCGTCTATGGCATATAACTCCCACTATGGCACTCAGCCAGCCATCGCTTCTACTCGGCATGGTGTATATATATACAGTAAGATCCCGCTTAACGCTGATTCGATATAACATGGTCTCTCGAAGCCTTAAAAAAAAAAAGCTCGAAATTTACACCAATTTAAATTATCGTGGCATTTTATTGATTTGTATATAATACAATTATTTACAAACATGAACCAACCTGAAAAAGGTGGCAAAAAAGTATACTCTCTTTAAATCTATGTTTGTTTGGTGCAATTTTGGAAAAAATATAACATCATGGATGCCATAGGCAATATCGGTTTCTCTTGGCTAGAATTAACTGATAAATGCATGAACGAAGTGTGGAAGAAGTTATGGCTGAAGAATTCTCAACAAGAAGAGTCTATCGCTGTATTGTTAGATTGGCCAAATTATCAACCTAATTGATACAGCAGAACTAGGAGATGTAGATGAGCAGGATATTGAGGAGTTACCACAAGTATCTGGTGAGAGCCTTACCAATGATGACCTTCAAGAACTGGAAGAACATGGAATTCACATGAAACTGGAAACTAGTGATTCTGAAAACGAAGAATCCAAAGAATTTCCCAGAATATTTCCTTAGTAAAAGTTTGGTAATGATAACCAAAATCAAATTGATCAAATTGTAGTGAATGATCTAGATTTTTAAAGGAGTGCAAAAGCAAAACAAGGTGTTTTGAATGCAATCTTCTGCTACCAACATTTGCTTAAGAAAAAAAAAAGCAACAAATGAAACTTCGCAACTTCATTGCAAAAAAACAAAAATTTCAGAAAAGTCAGAACCTTCATCACAAAAAATGAACTTTGCATTTCTGTGTGCATATGTTTGTGTGTTATTTAACATATATTATTATGCAAATCAATATAAAAATAACTTAAAATTAAAGTAAAATTTGTTTATTTTTGGTCGCTTGTTACCCTATCCCTATTTACTCTATGTTAAAATGACCTCGTTTAATGCTGTTTCATTTAGCGCTTTGTCGTCTAGGAATGCTCCCCATGTTAAGCAGGGTCTTACTGTACACACACAAAGAAATACGAACATCCAAACCCAATAGTTATATATTAAATCCAAACGACTGCTGAATTATATTGGGCTATATTACTACTACTATTATTAATTAAATGCTAAGTAATTTGGCACTAGAGGCACCTAAGAACTGCCTCTAGTGCCAAATTACTTAGCATATGAGGAACTGCTGATGCTATTTATCTGTTGAAGAGGTGGACTAGGAATGTTATTAGCAAACAATTTGTTGAAAAAATTCTTACAACAGTTAAAAAGTTCATAAAAGCAAATTCTATGATCATTGATGAAGTAAGCAGAAATTCTAGAAATTTTAAACACAATTATTTTCAACTCTTGAAGAGATTCCTGATAGAATAATGACAAGTATTGAGTGTTTCAATGAACTTGTAATGAAAGTTGAAGATGAGACAATGGAAAAAGTGCAAAGAGTCTAATGGAAAATCAAAATGAAGTCACCTGTTCTTATGATGAAACAAATATGGTTCTAGTGTGACAGTTACATTGAAACAAATTCAATGTTGATTCAGACTGTTCTGTTCAAGATCTTGACTATAAATCTAAATCAGAAGCTAGAGAATGTAAAAGAAACTGAGACACCAGAAACA